TGACAACATTAACTCGCCAATTTGGAGAAATGGAGTGACTTATTGAAATATAATTGTCAATGATTTTTGGAAAACAAATATTTTGCATAAAAAACATCGGCCGTTCTTATATAATAATTTATTATTATGTATATTAGTCTTAGTTTACAAAATATATTCAAATTTTTAAATAATTATTATTTGGTAGGTATTATATTTTAAGACCTAACCGTATTTTAAAACAAAATCATCTATTTTTGAATTAGCAATCAGACTTCGTTTATTTACAACAATAGGAAACAAGAAATTTTGCATGCACATTCTACAAACAATCTAATGTTTACTTATTATGTACATTTTGCGTAAATTGATACGCCGAAATTTTTACTGTAGTAGTTATTATTATTATGCATCATTTTGTTTTGATTGAATTCACTAAACAGGTAAACAGATGATTAAATTTATTTTTATCAAGAAACATAATAAATTTATAGATAATCCTTGTTTCAGCGAAGGAAACTAAAATTTCAATCAATTCAAAATTTACATAAGTGCTTTAAATATCTATCTGACTGGCATTATGTCAAATAATATAATTTCATATATGCGGAATTTTTAAAAGTTATTTTGAAAATTTTGTGACACCTCCAAAATACCTTTATTATTATTTATAAAAAAAATTTCTACGGATTATTAATCGAGTGTACGGAAAGATTATTCACATAGCTTGCTTGGCTATTGGGCCTTTACGTTTTAAAATTTATCTAAATTTCCATTATTATAGTAAAAATCAATAAACTGATAACTGAACCTTTTATAAAAAATTTTTTTACTAATATAAGTAAAAAAAACTCTCTGATAGGCTATGAATCGAAATATAATTGTGTAAAGATAATCCACACAGCTTGCTTGATTATCGAGCCATTACATTTTAAATTTCCGTTGTTTATAGTAAAAACCAATAAAATTGACAAAATTGAACCTTTATAAAAATTTTTTTTACCAATATAAATGAAAAACTCTCGGATAGGCTATTATTAATTGAGTGTTTGAAATAGAATTGCGGAAAGATTATTCAAACAACTTGTTTAGTTATTGAGCCTTTAGGTTTTAAAGTTTATCTAAATTTCCACTGTTTATATTAATAGTAAAATCAATAAATTTGATAAATTTGGACTTTTATAAAATTTTTTTTTACTAATATAAATAAAAAAAAACTCTCTGATCGGTTATTAACTGAACGGTTTGGAAATACAATTGCGGGAAGATTATCCCCACAGCCTTTTAGTTATTGAGCCTTTACGTTTTAAAGTTTATCTGAACTATTACTATTACTACGTTTGATGATCAACCATTGTGACCAACCCCAATAAAAGGTGCAGAGATAATGAATTAATTGTATATAGATATTTTTAAACATTGATTATGATCAAAGATAACAAATAATTTTAATGAAAATTCACATTTACTTGTTTGTGACGAATTGGATATTGATCTTTATAGCCAATTTATTATTGACATTCTGGATATTAATTATTTACCAGGCTATCAACAGAAAACGCCTGTAAATCAACAACTTCAACACAATTATCAACAACACTCTATATAATTGGAACAACCCAGAAGAAAATCAATAAATTATCTTTGATAACGAGAAAAATTTTGACAATAATAATGATGATGACAATGGTGATGCCATTATTGTTACTACAAGTGGACCAAAAAAAAAATAATAAAGAAAAGTAGCAATAAAACATCCAATAATACAAAAAAAAAGAAGAAAAAAATGATGGATATGAATTCTATTAAATTACATTATTCATATTTTTATAATATTTATTTAAAAGTATAATGAATTTTTAGCCAATAGTTTTGATGCATGTAACCTTTTATATTTTATAAAAAGTATTAACACATTTATCATTTGCCTCGTATACCAAAATTTGTGTAATTTTTTATGTCTTCAGGTAAAATCATGGCTCAATTTTAAATGATTAAGGGTTAAGGGTTAAGGATTAAGGATTAAGGATTAATTACCTTATTAAAAATCTTTTAAAAATAGATATTTGTTACGCCAGATTTTATTTTTAATGGACGGTTTTTTCGAAAAAAAAAAAAAAATCGTATAATAAAAGTGCGATCGCTCTTTTCTTTGACACAAAGTTTCTCAAAACATTTAATTATTATAAATAATATATTAAAAAATGTTGTCAGAATCTTTTAAATTCTTAACATTTGCTCTTTTAATTATTACGATTTTATCGAATGTTTTTATCAATGCATCGCCAATTCTCTCAGAAAAACGTAAAGTAGACGACGGTATTGCTTATGCAAGTATTGTTATTGATAAACAAGATGTTACTGTAATCCGCTTTCCACAAATTTCAAAAAACACCGTGCGTATAATTGGACAATTCAACTCTGGTTTTACAAGTGAAAATAAAAATGATTATGAATTCTTGATAGTTGATGGTGTTGGTAAAGTAAAAGTTGATCTTACTGATAAAATTAGATCTCAATTGCATATTAATGTTCCCGGAACCAGTCCATTCGAATTTGACGAAGAACTTACAGTTTTAGATATATTGGGTTTGTTTTTAGCTGTAATATTACAGGGCGAAGAAATCGGAAGAGGTCAAATCAAACGTTAATAATTAATACAATTAATTGTTATTGTTTATTATGTATAATGATGATTTTTAATGTATTAATATTATTAGTTCTTCTAATATTAATGCTTTCTTGAGAATTTAAATCATGTATTTTCTTTAAAACAATTTATATTAATATTTTCGAATAAACAGATACGTACATGTTTTTAATAATTGGCAGTGGCTTTGTGTTGTAATTTTTATATTAGTGATATGAAAATTTTGGCTGGGATGTAGCGGGCTTGATTTTCATTGTAAACTTAAAGGCCCAGAAATCGAAAGAGCTCAAATCAAGCTTGTATAATTAATTCAATTAAATTTTTATTACGTGTAATGTTATTTATGATGATTTTAATGTATTGATATTAATATTATTGATTCTTCTAATATTATACTTCTTGAGAATTAAATCAATCATGTATTTTCTTTATTATTTATTTTATAATTGTTTGTACAAAAAAATAAAATGCGCGCGCAAGGTTTTCTATTATTACAATTATTACCAAAATCAGTTGTCGTTGTTACGCGATTTAATAAATTTTTTTAGATCATTTGTTATTTTATTCCTATTAACGTTATAATAATAATAAATGAATTTCAAAAAAACAATTATAAAAGAAAATCTTTTCAATGTTGGTGATGATTATTGATGTAACTCGTTACTCTAGTTAAAAATACAAAAAATATATATGTTAAATAACAACATCAACTGCTTAAATTGTCTCACTAAATGAAAAAGTAAAAGTTGTCCGTCCATTAAGAATTATTGCTGGCTGAGATGATTGCTTACAATCTGTTGGATCAATGGTTATTTATCTTAATACTCAAATCAACTCTCCTTTTAAAGTGTTCTTTATAAAATTCCTAGAAAAATAGGAGGATAATATCAAAGCGTCCTAGAAGAAGAAAAAAATATCTGTAAAAACAATATCACCTCCTTCACTGCTTAATCCAAAAGAGGATTCGATGATAATCACTGTGGCGTTGAACGAGCCTATTTTGTGGCTTCCTAATATTAATTTCAGAATTCGAAATGTAACAATTTTTGCTCGCCAGTTAAACTATTCCTTTTCGTGCTAATGTTATAGTCTCACGTCAACTTGACACGTAGACATTTTAATTATAACTCATCATCCAAGAGCTATATAGACGTTTTAAAGAGTCATACATCCCATTGACTTGGACGCAAAGATTTACTGTAAGAAGTTGTGATGATGAGGCACAACCAATTGAAATTTCTTTTAATTAAAGATAACATAATTATTTTAATAGCATTGAAAATTATTATCATGAAACAAAAAAATTCTACAACTACCACAACTACTGCGACTTCAATTCGTTATTACTAAAAAAAAATTCATTGCAAATGCCATGTGAAAGTGCCTAGATAGTTAATTGGATGGCGTTCACATAATTTGATGAAGAACCTTAAAAAAATATTTTTTCTTATGAGGGGGATCAGTACCAAGACTAAGTTTTGGGAAATGGCACTTGGAAATCTAAACATCCAAAAAATTCCTTTTCCATCGTTTTAAAACCATAACAAATTTATATAAATATTGAAAATGCTTCTTTTAAATAATTTATTGATAATGGAAGTTTGAACAAGAAAAAAATTAAAATTAAAATCATAAGGAAACCAAAATTCTACTATGATGATGACGAGATTAATTAAAAAATAAATTATCTTCATTTCTTTTGCTTGCTTGCATTAATGTCACTGATCACCAATCCTGTTTTTATTTTATGAATTAATTATTGTTATTATTGTTATTATCCATTAAATAAATATTTCTAAATGTTTACCTGTTGGAAGAGATTCCTGTAATTTTTCTGCTTTCTTTACATCTTCAATTACAATAGTGTACAAATATTTTGAACATCTAAGCTTAAATTTTACCTTCGATACATCATTCTTCTTAATACGAACAGCTTTTAATATAAAAGTGTATGCGTATGTTAATCAATAGGATAAAAAATAAACCATAAATATATAAATTACATTTTGCATCATTTCTATGCGCAACCTCAAGAAAATCTTGAAATTATGTGAAATTGAAATATTATGGAGTGGGGTGAAATTCTGATTGGCTAATTTGAATTTCACATATGTAAATTTGAATTCACATAATTTCATTTTCACGTACAACAATACCAAAAATTTGTTTTGGCTAGAAAAAACAAATTGAAAATGTTATTTTCATTAATAATTATACAACATTGAATCTTTACTACAATTATTATTCATCCTTACCATCTTTTGTTATTTATTCCACCAAAAAAATTTTTTTAATTTGAATGTTTAACAAGATTCTAATCGATTGATCATCATATAAAATATATAAATTGATCTACACCCACAGAATTACTATGCGTTTGAAGCAATATCCATTTCTCACAAAACATGAATTTGAATTGGCAGCTAAAGCATTTCTAAAACAATCAACTAGATCAAGTGAGGTTTGGATGTGGGTTGAACATAAGGTATTTATTTATTATTTATATATATATATATATATACATATATATATATATATTAATTAATTAACAAGAAAACTAAAAAAACAAATAAAATCAATTATTTAGAAATTAAAAAATTATGGATACTTGTCATTGAAAACTTTGATCAAAAGTAAAGATAATTCCAACACATCGACAATGACCAATAACTCAGTTGATAAAATCGATGTATCTATAAAAGCTAATGATGATGAAGGTCATGAAGAAGAGGAACATGAAAATGATGGTGATGAGATAATTGAGGATGATGATCCTAGTGTGTGTAAATTCACCACTAGTACAAATCTCTTCATCACTGAGGAATATCTCACTGTTGATTATCATATCATCTATTCATCAGTTTACCAACTTCCCGTTTTATATTTTAATGCTTATCGAACTGGTATGAAATAATGACTTTTTTTAAATAGCAATAACAATAGCAATGATAATAATAATAATAATAATAACAACACACGGCTAATTAATTTAATTAATTAATAGATGGAACAGCTTTAACAATGTCTGAAATTTATATAAATCTTGTGGAATCATCATTTAGAGTCAATGATCTTCAAAATTCTGGACTTCGTGGAGGATTATCTCAACAAGTTTTATTTCATTTTTTCATTAAATTTTATGAATTATTACTATAATTATTTTTCCTAAAATTTTTTGGCATAATTTTCTAGGATCATCCAATACTTATGATTCCATTCTATTATTTACATCCATGTGAAACAGCTACATTAATGAAATCTATTGTTTTTGAAGAAGAAGAAGAAAAAAATGATGATGATGACAATCAAGGAAAAATGAAAGGTAAAAGGATGATTATGCCTAGTTTAGAAGGATATATTAGAAGTTGGTTAAGCTTTGTTGGTCCAGTTGTTGGTATCAATGTTAGCATGGATAATTTCTTACCAGAAGAACAAGAAAATAATTAGCAATTTATTAATGAATTAGAATTTAGATGATTTTCATTGTTCAATATTAAATATATATGTAAGATCTTGAGCATAAATTAACAACTTTTGATTCTAAATATTTAATTACTATTAAAATTGTTATAAAATATGTAAATAAAATGATTCAGGGAAAAGATAGATAAAACAAAAAATAAAATTGTTTTGGAATAAACCCACTCATCAAACTTGGATACAGCCTTACAATATCTAAGCTTTCTTCTTTCTCATAAATGTATCTATATATTTGCAATTCTTTTGTTCCTCAAGTTAATAAATGGGGCATGCCGCAACAAAACAAGACAAAGTGAACATTGGTATTACCAAGAATTTCAGGGATCAATCAATATGTTTGTCTAACATCACAACTATAATGTGATCACGATATTTGTCTAGATAATATGAAATTAATTTACATTAGGTACCCAAGGAGGATTATAGCATAATTAGAAGTATTTTGAAGAAAAGAACAAGGTGAAAAAATACTCATTGCAGGCAACTTTTCAGCCACCATGCCAGCAGCCTTCTCTGGTCTGGGAAGATTGGTGAAAGTGTCATTGACAATTGATGCAGTCTTGGTAAGCTCCAAGGCCTTGCACTCCTCCCTGAAAATTTAACAACATCACCATATCATTGGGAACACCGTAGTCAGATTAGCCTTGACTACGCGAGGAAGATATAATGACTGTATTGTGTTCAAGGTAGCGTGCGTGCTTCAATGCCTGCCAATTTCCGATAATCAAATGTCTCGTATTTAAACTGTTTCCTTTTCAATGGTGTGTTGCCTTTATTTATTATATATTAATATTAATTATGATTACGCAAAGCAAAATACCAATCGTTCATTTGTTACCATCAAGAATCTTATAATTACCCTGCAAGTTCTGCTCCGCATTTTGATTTCAATTAAAATATTTATAACAAAAAAGACTACAAATGAAAAATAGTACCTCTGTTATTAACACGTCTTCAAGACCCAAACCATACCAAACAACATCTTTCATGATTTTTTAATCTTTAGAGGCAGCAACTCCTTTTCCTTCACCATTCCATTGAATGACAAATTTGGATTCAATTTATCAACTAGTTGCTTGAAATCCCTCCACAAAGTCTTGATTTCTTTCGGGTAATTTTTCGCTAATTACTTTACTTGGTCTATATTTTCTAAGGTTCTATTCATTAATTATTTTTTGATTTATACGTCACAAATAAATTCAGTGGCGAAGGTAAGCAAGCATTTTTGTTAAAAGAAAAAGGTTATATGGAAAATAGTTGTTACCATAACATCAAATTCAAGTTATCGAGTATCGAGTCGCCTATTATTTCTTGATTCGAGCGTGGCTAAAACTCAAAAATCTGAGTTTCAACTCGAGCTAGCTCAGCTCATTCGAGTTTAATAGTGATTGAATGAACTATTATATAAATTTTATCACTTTGCAGAACTTTTTTAATAATTATTTATCTGTTAAAAAGAACCAGTTATAAAATTTGCTGGGGATTTAAAATAAGTTCTAGGAAAAACAGTTCTAATACAAACTGATCAGGAATATAATTAAACACATTAATGCAAAATCATGGTAAAGTGATAAAACAAATGCATAACTTATTCTAACATGCTTTAATAAGGTATATTTGAAGGTCCAGTATGATTCCCGACAACTGACTACCCTGTACAGATTGAATTGAGACTATCTTTATTGATTGCACTTTAGAAAACATCCTGTCGGAAAAATGGTTGTTGGGGGAAATGAGTACAACCCATATTAACATTGGAACAAACCTTGTATTATTAAAAAGAATATCTAATCAGAAAATCAGTATGCAATATGGTCATTGTCAGCATCCATCTGTAATAAATATAAGTTTCATTTGATATTCATTTTTTTACTGGTGTTGTCATATATATTGTCGGAGCATAATAACAAGAAATGTTGCGTTACAACTTCTTAGTATTTTAATAGACTTGCTTAAGTCTCCTATTATGTCATAAAGTCCGCATTGGCAATAATGTCGACAAAACAAGAGTATAATGGTGAAATTCGTGACTTGCCCAATATGGTTTTAATCCCTTTTCGAGCATATAAGATATTATAAATTTTAGTCTTTTTGCCACCTATATAACCATTAAAATAACCCTTGGCACGATCTATTTCTATAATTATGATAATTAAGTATGGCAGAAATTTCATCTTCAGTGATTCTAAACCTGTTCACATATAATTCAGTATATATACATACAAGTTATTTAACCCCAAAAATAAACCCACTTTAGTCACATAAGACACTCCCACAATAAAGGCCTTATATAAATTGTCATCATTCATTACCCAAAGATTGGTTAATTAGAAGCGATTTAAAATAGTTATCTTACAATTGAAGTAAGCAAGCTTCCTAGTATCCTTATGGTGGTTTTCATATAATGCAGTTTCAAAAAGATGATCATACTCATAATCAGAACAACACCACACTTGCTTTTATAATAATTATTATCAATTAAAATAATATCGTATCATTATTAATATTGATATCTTGGTTTCATTCACGCCTCTTTCTTCTTTTCCTTACCAACCCACTGTTGAATTGCTTCTATTGATTTCTTTCTAGGATTAGTTTTTCGTTGGTATAAATTTTCAATAATGAAGGCAAGTAACTCAACATCTCACCAAATGAAAAATCAGGATTCAATTCTATCCTTTTGCTGTAATTATTTAACATTATTTAGTATTTAGTATGAATTAGTGTGCTTAAAACATAGAAGTGTGATTATACAAGAAACACAGAATTGTGTTTGAAGCACAATAATGTGTTGAGGACACAAAAGCATGTGGGAACACAAAATTGTGGTAAAAGTATTCATAATTGAATTAATTGTATATAAGAAGCTTGACATACTTGTAAAGTAACTTTGTAAGAAATTTAATAACTTTGTAATAAATAAACTAGCTTTGACTATTTTCTTAAATCATTAAACCAAAATGATTTGTTAATAAAAACTAATTCATTGATAATAGCCAATTCATTCTGATTCACATAATCATAAATTATTTGTTATCATCAATTAATACACTCTCAAATAATAATTGGTTAGAAAGTGAAATCTGTAAATGTACATATTATCAGAAATTATTATTTTTAAACTTGGGCACAATCTCACAAATATATTAATGAACAAATTTATCTGAGATAAAATTCTTTGTTTTTATGTTTATAGATATAAATAATTGTTAAAAATATATAATATTAAGAAGTAATTGTTAAAATTTTTTTTGATAATAATAAGAGGTGTTTGTTCAATATGTGACACTTCATAAGGAACTAGGTGAAAATTCCAATAATCAGATAACTTATTCATAAATTTGATAAATAGTCTGGTATAGTTAATTCAATTTGTTTAGAATCTGGCATAGTTAATTCGATTTGTTTAGATTCTATAAGTATTTGTTTATAATTTAAAATAACATTAATGATAAATAATTAAGATTAAATATATAACAATAAATTAGATGATTACCATTATTGTTACTAATAATTGTAACTTTATTGGAATTTACAGGTTGAGGAAGATTTGTAAAATTAAATAATCTACTTGTATAAACAGCATTTGGATGAATGCTTGCCATAATTGTTGAAGGATTAAAGGGTTTTTTATCTGCTTCCTCAAAAAATTTTTTTATTTTTTCTAATTCATCAAGCTGTACTTCAGAATAACTAGATATATTAGATTCAATTGCATTTTTCCAAAAAGTAATAATTTTTAAAATTTCATTTGCTGTTGGTCTTTTTTCAGGAACAGCATCCATGCATTTGTATGCTAACTTAATGTAACATTCTGGAGTGTTATCTGAAAAACTAGGCCTTAAGCCACTACAGATCTTGAAAGCAAGATCTAGATCATGTGGTCTATCTTTGAATGGTTGTTGACATGTTGATGTTTCTGACATTAAAATCCCAAAGCTATAGATGTCTGATTTTTGTGTATAAGGTTTCCCATTTAATACCTCTGGTGCAATATATGGTAGCACTCCAATAATGCTATTTTCACTTGATGTTTCTTGGTTAGTTGGGCCTGATAACCCTAAATCTGTAATCATTGCCTGGGATAAATATCCAAAATATAAAATATTACCACTGTGAAGATCACCATGTGTGCAAGTTTTTCTTGATGGAATGTGCTTAAACTTAAGATAATGTTGTAAAGTATTTTAATTTTATCATTCCATCTTCTATATTTAAATTTTAAATATTTCTTAAAATCTCCTTTGTCTGAATATCTCATTACAAGAACATATTCCTTTGTATTTGGATCTTGTGAAATACCATAAATATTAACAATGCCCCTGTGATAAGGTCCTATAAATTTAATGTGATTTTGAAGCTTTATGAAAATTAATAAAAAATCAACATATTGTTTAAAAATCATTATTTGTCAATTAATTATCAAATTATTTACCTCCTTTAAAAACTCATCAGGAGTATTTTGTGAATTTTTAACCTTTTTTAATGCTACTTTACCACTTAGATAATAAGATCTTGTATTGCCATAAACATATCTAGGACCATTTGACCAATAACATTTATGCACAGTTGCAAAACCACCTTTACCTATTGCTTCTTCAACTGTGAGTTGGTCATAAGGAATCCATTCAAGGTAATGGTAACTATCAAATCCTTTTGCTTCAAGCTGTGTGTTTCTGATTATTTCATCTAACTTTTCATTACCACTACTAGTCCAACTTTGAGCTAACAATTTGGGATCACATGATTGACACCATTGGTAATTAGTATTATATCTTCCACAAACAGAACAGATTCCATATTCTTCTCTTTCTTTAAACCCCTTAGTGTTATCTTATTATTTCAAATAATTAATTTTTCATTGTAAAAAAAAAAATTCAAAATAAAATAGAATTATTTTCAACATAATAAAAATAGACATTCATTTAAAAGTTATAAAAAAAATCAAATTTATAAATTATTTTACCTTCAATTGTTAGTCATTATAAAACACAAAAAATAAGTTTATTTAATTAGACAAAGGTTTGATAAAAATTACTTTATGTTGTGAAGTTATTTTATAATATAATATAATATTTACCAGCTAGTTATTATGAAGAAAAGACAAAAAATATTTAATTAGATGATGTTATAAAAACTTATTTTGTGTTGTAAAAGTTACTTACATGCTGGTTATTATAAAGAAAATAAATTTATTAATTAGTCAGTGTTTTAATAAAATTAAAAAATTTAATTATATAATGTAATACTTACTCCCTAGTTATTGTTATAAAGAAGATTTATTAATTAGATGATGCTTTAATAAAATTATTTTGTTTAAATTTATAAAATAATACTTACCAACTGGTTATCATTATAAATAAAGAAAAATAAACTTATTAATCTGATATAAAAATTGTAAAAGTTTATATATAATACAATATAATACCTACCAGCTGGTTATTGTAAAATAAGAAATAAATTTATTTAGTTTGTGTTATAAAGTTAATTTATAATATAATACTTACTAACTGGTCATTATAAGAGAATAAGAAATAAATTTATTTAATTAGATGATGTTTTAATAAAGTTTATTTAGTGTTTAAAGTTAATTTATAATATAATACTTACAAGCTGTTATTATAAAGAAATATAAAATAAATTTATTTAATAAATGATGTTTTAATAAAGTTTATCTTGTGTTGTAAAAGTTAATTTATAATATAATACTTACCCTCTATAAATAAAAAATAAATTTATTTAATTAATGATGTTTTAATAAAGTTTATTTTGTGTTGTAAAAGTTAATTTATAATATAATACTTACCCCCTGGTTATTATAAGAAATAAAAAATAAATTTATTTAATTAGATGATGTTTTAATAAAGTTTATTTTGTGTTGTAAAAGTTGTTTTATAATATAATACTTACTCTCTGTTTATTATAAGGAATTAAAAAAGAAATTTATTTAATTAGATGATGTTCTAATAAAGTTTATTTTGTGTTGAAAAGTTAATTTATAATATAATACTTGCTATCTATTAAATAAAAAATAAATTTATTTAATTAGATGATGTTTTAATAAAGTTTATTTTGTGTTGTAAAAGTTAATTTATAATATAATACTTACGATCTATAAATAAAAAATAAATTTATTTAATTAGATGATGTTTTACTAAAGTTTATTTGTGTTGTAAAAGTTGATTTATAATATAATACTTACAAACTGGTTATTATAAAGAAATAAAAAATAAATTTATTTAATTAGATGACGTTTTAATAAAGTTTATTTTGTGTTGAATAATATAATACCTACTATTTATTAAATAAAAAATAAATTTATTTAATTAGATCATGTTTTAATAAAGTTTATTTTGTATTGTAAAAGTTAATTTATAATATAATACTTACAAACTGGTTATTATAAAGAAATAAAAAATAAATTTATTTAATTAGATGATGTTTTAATAAAGTTTATTTTATGTTGTAAAGGTTAATTTATAATACAATACTTACTCCCTAAGAATAAAAATAAAAATTTATTTAATAAGATGATGCCATAATAAATTTATCTTGTGAAATATTTATTTACCTTTATAGAATTTTGCTAATTATAAAGCAATATTAAATTACAATGTAAAAATTCTTTTACTATTATTACATATTTTTAAAATAGTTATTTTTCTGTGTAAAAAATAATACCTTCATTCATTTTTTTTAAAGGAATTTTTTGTCTACTGTTCTTTTGCACTACAAAACAAATTTAGAGGTATTATTAATTCCAGTCCTGTGGTTGGTGGGTATAATTTTATAATTATCACAAATGTGACTTAAGGGTAGAGTGTACATAACACAAATTTACTATTACTATGATGTCATTTGGCAATAGTATTTATATATAACTTGAATATCCATCCATCAGGACGGGATGCTGGAAAAGGACGGGGGACGGGTTCAAGCTACACCTGCCGTCCCCTGTCCTTTTCAAGTTTGACCCATTAATATTAGAAAAGGACGGGTGATGGTACGGGTATTCTGCAAAATAATGTAAAAAAGTACGAGTAACTAACATGGCGTGGTGAAGGTGTAGAAACTAGTTCACTGTCATTTTCTATTATTCATGGGCAAATCTTGAAAAGGATGGGCGAAAAAAGTATGGGTTACTATGCCATTACCACCCATCCCACTGCTCCTTTTTATTATTCGCGGGCAAACCATGAAAAGTACAGGTGAAAGGTACTTGTCATAATATAATTTTTAATAAACAGCTGCAAAATTGGACTATTATAATTTTCAGTCTCTATTTATTCCTTATCTTGATTTTTATTTTTTATTATACATTTGAGGCTAAAACTTTTGTAAAAATAAAATAATGAAGAATACAAATCATAATAGATAATAAATAAGCTAATTAAAATATATAATATAATCGGTTACATGAAAAGGACAGGTGATGGGCAGATGTGGTTTGAACCCGTCCCTCGTCCTTTTTATTACAGTTGGGTTTTTACCTTATCAGTATGAATTTACAAGATGTTATTCGTCATATACAAGTCACATTTTTTTTTAAAAAAAAAAATAATCCGTTATTGAAATAAATAGTACTAAACTTGTTTTTTCATAATCTGTCAATAATCTGTAATAATCTATCGATTTGTTCAAAGTATGCTTCTACCAAAAATCAGGAAAATTCATATGCAAGGCGTTTAATTTCGTTATTTTGATTTATTTTAATTTTTTAACTTTAGTGGATATAATAAAAAGACCATTGGTCGTTATCAAATATTAGCGGAAATGAATGACCGGTTATGATGTTTCTGATTTATAAAAAATTCATTGGTCGGTTATCAAATATCAGCGGAAATGAATGACTGGTCATGATGTTTCTTATTTCTAACAAATGAATAAAATTTATTAGATGGAAATAAATGACCGATCAGATTTCTAGTAAATGGATGAAGTTTATGTGAAGTTCAGAAAACTTGGTAGGTTGACAAGGATATATCCTATTGCAGATCTTTGGATTGGGTGGCAAATATTAATAATGCCCGTCCTTTTTAAGAAAAAATCAGGGATGGGAAGTAATGGTGCAGCAAAACCGTCCGTCCTTCTCAAGATTTCCCCATGAATAATAGAAAAGGACAGGGGACGGGTTCAAACCACACCTGCCCGTTTCCCGTCCTTTTCATTAGAAAATGCAATGTTGGTGAAAAGTTACCAAATTTGGGGAAGATTGTATCCAATAAGCCAATCACAGTGTGGGTCAAACCCTGTGATTTTTACATGCAACCTATCTATATTTAACAATAAAGTAGATTTACCATCACTAGGGATTGGAACAGTTTAACCCAGACTGGTTCAACCAGCAGTTTGAAACTGAACTGATGCGGTCGTAGTTAAACCTCCGATTTGAAACTGAGCTGGTTACACATTACATTTCACACTTATTCGAATTTATTATTCTTTTATAAAATATAAATATTAATAATTCACAGCTTGATGGAACAAATTCTATTGTTAATTATATTTATAATTTTTTGTTCACACAGAGATACTGCCACTATCTTACTTGGTTCAACCTTTTTTTTACCATTATCTAAATTTCTAAAATACATCCCAGTTGCTGTTAATCCTAGACTTTGCATCATTGTCTAAATTGAGATTATTCAACAGAATCTATTATATTTCTCCAGTTATATCATCTTCATCTTTTTCATCATCATCATCATCATCATCAAGAGATTGATCTCTATTAGGGTTTTGAATATGGAAAAATTCAGTAATTTTAGAAAATCCAATTGTGCATCTCTCAACTCTTTGGCATGTCCTGATTGAATCCCCCATATAAAAAGTCCTACTTTTGACAAGTTGAATTACAAAAAATAGTTAGCATTTTGGAATAAGCATGTGTATATAAGTGTATCATTTCATATAAAATAATGTTATTCTAATAGAGTGGATGGTTTTAAAGCTGTAACAGTGACTAACAAAGATGGTGTTGCAATAATAAAATGTAAGAAGCAATGTAAATCGATTAGGAATCAATTGATTTTTAAATAATGATAAGCTGTAACAAAGTAATGCATCATCCATTAAAACATTTGAGCGACTTTTGGAGTTATCAATGATCAGGTAATTTAATTATTTAATTATGCAAATAGAGAGAAAATTTATAATTTTAGACATCGAAATTAGGGTCAAAGAAAATAAATATATAATCACCTTTTACAGACTTTATCAAGTCATACAATTTAATCACGCACCATTAATTACTATTATATATACACCATCTTGTGGTGAGGGTGAATTAAAAGAAATACCAGATTTAACATCTGCAACATCAGAAACATAATATACTGTTATTTTTTAAATATATATATATATATAATATTTAATATTAAATAATAATACAAGATATAAAAAATATATAGGTAAGAGGGTTTACATGTATTTCAAATTCGAGAAAAACAACAACAACGACAACGCGACAACAACGACCACAACAACAAAAATAACAGTAATAACAACAATAATAATGAATTCTGATTTCTTTTCTTCTTCATAGACAGAAAAAGAATAAATGAAATTTGGTTATAAATTATTTTTTAGAGAACAATTGGCACTACAAAAAAAAATTGATTAATTAATTAGTTGGTATGCTTCTTATTATAATATATATTTTCCAATATTATATAGTAATTGATATTACTTACAAATAATAATCAATAATAAAATGATTATAGCAACAATAATAATAATTCTCATTTTCATATCTTTCCACCACATTTGCTTCCGTACTTTATTTGCCCCACGACGAAATCCTTGTGCTGATACTGACAAATTTTCTATTTACAAAAAAATAGTGAGAAGATATTACAGTACTAATATTTAAAGTATTTCTTTACTCTCTAACATAAATTCTTTACCAGTTTTATCTTGTAAAGTATCTAATTTCACTCCTCTTTCAGCAACAGATTTAAGGTTATCACGCATAACTTCTACAGTCTCGTCTATTTTTTTTTGAATTTCTAAAGTTTTTGAAGGTGGACCACCAGCAGCACCCTCCTTAGGTATGTATGGATCGTATGGAGAAGACCTGTTGAAAACGTTTATTAATGTCGTTGGAAGATGACAATTTTAAATAATATTCGTTCATTCAGTCATTTAAACAAAAAATAATTATTTCCCATTGTTTAATCTAATTGATTTATTGATTGATTCAATACGCTTGCTTGCTTGCTTTATTTTGATATAATAAAAAATAATACATACATTATAAAATATTTATTTTTATTATTTCAGTGATTCCTTCCTTGGAGAATGCTTAATATTTATGCAAGTATTTTATTACAAAGAACCTGTTTTTTTTGTAAAGTTGTGCGCACAAACTAACTTTATTTTGTTTCTTTTCTAGTCAAGATCATCAACTTTTCAATTTTCTTCTAATTTCTTTCGCTATGTTTTACTATAATATGAGTATAAGGACATTCAGTATGGTATAACTCTTGCAAAACATATGGTATGGTATTGTATAAGTGTAATAAAATGGTTGTATACCAATGCTTAAATCTAACATACTTCCCTTTACACCCACCAAAAAAGGATTTAGAATAAAATTTTGTGTGACTTGGTACAGAAAAATATGGGCTATACCATACCATACCATACGTTCTGCAAGAGTTATACCATACTGAATCTCTCCCTACTGGAATTTTTTTTTGATAAAAACAAAAAGGAATTTCTATTAATTTATCAGTTACTTTTATTTTTTGTAATAAGAATTTTTATTGCTTCTTCTTCACCAATGGCTGGATCCACACATAAACAATTCTTAAAATGAAATTTATATTAAAAAAATCAAAGCTAATATAAGCAGTATGATAATATAATAAAATAATAAATTAAAAGTTTTCGGCAACGTTATTATTATGAACGTTTTGAATTTACAGTCAAATGGGCAAATAAATTTTTCGAATATTTTTAATGATCGACACCAAAAATTTCATATTAACTATTTTTATCTAGAGACAAAATGAATATCGTGACACATTTAATGTTCTATGTCACAATATCAAAAATTGCGACCAGTATCTATAGATCACATTACATTGGTAAATACAGTTGTGATGTTAAAATTTTTGATCCCTGAAATCATTGGTAATACCAATGTTCACTTTGTCTGGTTTTGTTGCAGCATGCCCCATATAAGATTAATGACAAATATATTCATTTTACTTCTGTTTGCAAACAAACTATAAATGATAACAAAATCAAAACAATTATAATAAACATAAATAGTGAGTGAATGATTATTAAATGATTAAAATATATAGTTGTTTAATGGTAGATCTTTTTTTGAAGAAAACAAATATTAATATGATGTTTGTCATATAAATAAAATTATTAGTAGTAGTAATTATTATTTATTACCATATTTTTCTTCTATATTGATTAATTTGGTTTTTATCTTTTGGTGAAAGTTATCCCAGTTCAATTTCTTTTCTTTTTCCTTCTCCTTTTTTTCTTTCAAATTTTCAACTTGTCCCATCCCCTCACACCCTATTTAACAATACAATCTCAGATGTCAATTTCGTTCCCTAATGATAAATTATATCTTTCCAATATTGACAAAATCATTGATTTTCAATACTTTTATAATCATCATAAAAAATAATCCAGGGTTTTCGCAAATAAATTAGCACAATAATCATAAACATAATGAATGACATTCAATATTGTGATGAAAATTTTATAGATGTAAAATAAATTTTCGTAGCGACCAAGTTAAATGATTTTATAAGTCTTCAACCGGTTCATTAAAACACAATTAATCACATGTTTCAAGTAGTTCAAGAAATTCATCTGGATTCATATCATTAGTATTAACAACTCCACTATAAATATATCTTTAAGAACAAGTAATTATTATAAAAAATAAAATCATCTTATGTTAAAAGATCTTGGTGAAATGTGTTTTTTTCAAACATAATAATGCCCTTTCATATTTTTTTATCCAAATATCTGATAATGCTGCTTTAAAATATGAAAACCTTGTTCTCAAAATTGTAGAATAAGCTTTCAAGGTTTTAACATTGTCATGTTCTACTCCAACCCTAATTTCTATACATAAAAAATCTGATTCATTTAATAAATCTACTAAATAATTTACAAGTTTGCTTTATCAGAACTTATAGATTGATCCAAAGGAGAAGAAGACTGACCCAATGGATCTTTTAAAAGGATAGAATGACAAGTTGCAGATCAATAATCATAACAAATTTTGTTACACGTAAATCACGTGAAAGTCACGGAGCAATGTAAAGTATGAATGTGTGCGTTTATCTCTAACTCCCGAGGTTGGGAATGAGACATAGGGTTCATTTATGGAGGGTGTACATTTATTAGAAAATTCACTTATGGAGGGTTCACTGTATATATCTATATTTTTATATTGTTAAAATGTCACTTTATAATTTTCACTGGAAATAATTATTACACGCAGTTTAACTCAATAAACCAGTGTCTCGACAAATCAGCTCCAGCTATTCTTTTGAATTACATCAATTTCAAGCTCCCTGATAACTCTCAAATGTTTACAGACTATTAAATTCTCACCAAAAAAAATGAATTATTAATTAGTAATAAAAATCAAATAATGGAATAAATCGAATAATTTAATCAGTATTTCTTCAACACTTACGCAGTACCACGTTCAAAGTTCTCTCTGATTTCTTGAGTATATTTATCATAGAACCTGGCAATCTTTTCATTAAATCTTCTATTACGTTCATTAATATATGTAATATCTTCTTCTTCGTTGATTGGTTTTTGCCGTGAAAATTTATCTCGTTTTTCAATTCTATTGATAAAAATTTAATAAATATACAAAGTATAAATTTTTTTTTGAAAATCCAATAAATGAAATAATAATTTTCCATACTGTTTTTTAACATCATTAACAACTTTATCGACAGCTTCTCGACTAGGACTAGTATCTAAAGATGCATATTGTAATGAATTGGCGTCTCTGAAAAAACTTGAATCAGCATCAACAACAACAACTTCTCCATCTGCTGTTGTAATTTGACTTGCTGATGCCATTGCCAATGCCTTTTTTTCATTATAGCCTGTAATATCTGGTGTAAATTCATTAATCATACGTTTATATTTTTTTTGTGCAACTTGATTATAATCTTTTATTATTGTAGGTAGGTAGGGAGAGAAAAGTTTAATATTTTTAATAAAAAATAATATATTCATATTATTCATATTTAAATTATTTAATTACCCGTAAAAGCAATATTAGACCTTTTCAATTTCTTTTGTTGTTTCTTTTCCCATTTTTCTACAGCTTCTGCTGAGTACTCCCAAAACTTCTTTCGTTCATAATCTTCTCCATTTTCTATTGCTTCCTATCAATATAAAATCAATTTATAAATCCAAATTCTATATGTGAAAATATATAATATAAATATATAACCAACCTGTCTTTCTTGTAATTTTTCTGCTTCTTCTCTTAATCTTTGTATGTGAATAAGTTCTTTGGGATTAGTTTTTTTACGTTGATGCTCTTCGTAAAGATCTTTCCTATTTGCTTGTTCTGCGTCATCCTGTGATCCTTTGTTAAATTACTAGAAATCTATAAAAGATGTTTTAAGAAATTCATAGTTTAATACAAACCTTTCTTAATCTGAGTTGCTTTAATCGCTCAAGCCTCTCTTTCATTTTATCTATTTGAGGCGACTCTTCTTCTTTGTTGTTGTTATCATCATCCTTATTAGAATCATTTTTATTGTGTTCATTTAATTTTTTAGTTTTTTGTTTTTTTTTACCCATGTTTATTATTTAAGGAAATTTTGTTAAATGTTCAATTAATTTATGTGCACGGATACGCAGCAAAATTTTTAACAAGCACAAGGAAAATTTTTGTCTGCGCATTTTTTGGATTTGGCCGTGCCAAATCCCAACTATGGCCTTTTACATATCCAACTAATCAGGGGGATCATATTTAAAGATGGCTTCTCAATTAATTGCGGCATATAAAAATTGAATTACGGTTGCGGTTGCGGCGTATGAAAATTGAATTGCGACTAATTGCTCCATCTTTACCTATATTAATATTAATATATTTTCTTTTGTTTTGATAATATTCGTATTCGTATTTTTTATTGATATTTTATATTCGCATTTTTATCATTTTATATTTAAATTAAGAAGAGATTATCGTAAAAATAATGCCACTTTTTGACCTATAAAACATTTGGTTGGAAATTAAACAAATAGGATTTTAATTGTTTTTGCCCACAATTTAGGTTTCGCTTCATGGAGAAATTAGGCCTAAACCAAAAGTTGCCTAAATAATAACTAGACTATGTATGGGTTAGTTCCGGTCGCCACTAGTCTTGAACTGCATCTTGCGTCACGAATTGTTTTCGCTTTTTATATTTAGGTAAATCCCAAAATTTGCTTTTTCCGTTCGGAGCTTTGACTGTTCCAAATCAGAAAGAGAGAAAGGTTTTTGCTCTTCTTCGTTGAACTCATAAAATTCTTCATCCTCCTTTTATTCTTCTTCAATTGGCAATTCATCGTTTTCAACTTCGCCTTCTTTCTCGTCATTCTCTTTTACTTTCAATTCAGGTAACTTTTTCTTTTATTTCTGGTACCAGAAAATCCAGATTTAACAACTCTAAATTAGTTATTAATTCAAAATTTGGAAGATTTTCTTTGTTATCTAGTACTAGTAATTTATTAGCTTCGGCGGTTTCTTTTTGAATGGAATTTCTTTTTAACCAATTCCACCAATTGTTGTCTTAATTAATCTGATGCCCCGTTCAGTTCTGATTTATCTATTCTTAGCAAATCATCAAGAGAATGATCATTAGGATTAGTTAGGATGTTTTGAATTCTTACAATATTATGAATAGCAGGAATATCACTTTCTTCTATAACAATTTCTTTATAAGCCTTGCCGCTTCAACAAATCCCACTACTTTTAAATTTGACATGATTTATTGATGGCTGATTTGGGATAATTGAGTCAAAGCCAAATTAATTTTGACAACATGTATAGTCATTATTGTTTGTTTTATTAAAGATATATAATTAATTATACAATAAAAAAATTGCATGGAATCCAATACTGCACCACTATTATTTGTAATCTTACTGAGGGATAGGGGTTTATATGCGATTTAAAATTCTTTTGTGCTAGTTTAAAGTCTCACATTCATTTTTAGTAACTTGTAACAACTCTTTTCGGATCGTTTAACCATCTAAAGCTACACCAAATAATATAACTTGTTTGATCACAATCTCTCTAATTAATTAACACACCATAATAATTTTTTTCCAATAAATATTTTCCGATTGATATGATATCAAACGCAAAGTTGTGTACCCTATTATTTGTAAAGCAAAGATAAAATATATTGATACAATTATTTATTACCTATTAATATAGTAAAGAAATATGTTCATTTATATATCTTTTATTGCCTATTATTTCGAAAAAATCTATTTTAAGTATATAAACCAACAATTATTATATAAATTATCATTGACACCTTCAAGTTTAGATTTAAAATTTGCTTTACAACATCCACGTGAACAAATTGATAATTATCATAATGTCTATTACTCTAATGAATAAAACTTTTAATTGATGAATACCTTTAATAATAATTAAAAATTATATTATATTTTCTATACCATATAAAAAATAGTCCGTTGTTTGAATTTTAATTCCAGAAATACTCCTGAAATTTTCCACGGATTTGCAACAATGGCAAGGTCCATCTTTCCCTGTAGTCTTTCTATGAATATGTATGATACAGAAAAACATGGAATTTTAAATCACGGATCATTTTTTTTTTACAGGACATTGCATTGCGTATTATGATACAATTCTTTGTGTTTAATTAAAAGTTCGTAACGTTATTAAAACAGTTTTTGTAATTTCTCTAAAACTAATTAACCAAAGTAATATTCAATATGAAATATTAGTAGAGTATTTTGCCTATCAAAGCCATAATTTTACGGAGAATTCTCTTAATATATTTAAAAGTTTTATTTTATTTTATTTTTAATAGTTTTCTTGCAGATGGTAGGTAACATATTAAATATATCTCACAACTATTTAATTAATAAACTGAACGCGGGCTTTTTCGTCCATTCTTAATTTAATGTTAAAAAAATCAGTCATTTCATAATATCTGGGAAAAACCTAACCTGAGTGATGAAAAGTCACATATAGTACCTCTTTCAAGTGTAAATCCTTTAAATTTAGAAACAACCTTTATCCTTTAACAAAATCGTACTAACGTCAATTTAGGTAAAGACCTACATGGACATTTCGCAGTAGTAAATTATCTTTCTTCCCGATTTCTTTTCTTTTTAGGTTCTTCATGGCTTTGTGTTGAAGTTCTTTTATTGGTTATGATATTTCTTTCTTCTTAGTAATCCATAGGTAATTTTTTCTTTCCTTGGACAGTTTTCAAGCATCCGAGTATCATTTAATTTTTCTCATCTTGTTCTTTCTTCAAAATACTTCTACTGTAATTCTTAGGTCCCATAGCAGATCTGATATAAACGAGTTTCATATAAGGTTGCTTGCCAAAATTTCTTAATGACTGCCGAAACTCTGCCAATTGATTTCTGGAGAAGTTTTGGCAAGCAACCATAGTTTCATATCAACTATTTTTTATGTAAGAGTAATTCTATGCCAACATTTCATTAGATAATAAACTAAACTTCAATTATCTGTTTTAATTAAAATTCGCCTCACATTCAACACTTGAAAAAGGAATCAAATAAAAATATCTAAAAGTTTTACAAGAAAAATTCCCTGTAGATAAATTGATGTAATTTGCTAAAATTATTTATTGCACCACTTCTCATTGGATCAACAATTGGTTTGACAGGATCTTTTAGACATAACATAATAATTGACTATCTGTTGTAATACTTCTTCATCTTCTTCATCATTTACAATGATATAAAAATTTAATACATGACAATTTGGGAAGTGATTTTCCGATGCAAATTTCATCACCTCTTTTATTCATATATACCATCACCATAAAAATTCCAGAAACATGGTCACAATAATTGATCATCAAATCAATTATAGTTTCATCAAAATGAGGTTTACACTAGCCAACCTGTTCAGGATAAGATAGTCGCATTTCTACAAGGTGGGGTTGATGGAATGTTCCAATGTAAGATCTTCAATTGATTTATTTGCGTGACAATTAATTGAATTTTCATTCGAACGTTCCAATGAAATTCGTTTGTTTGGAATTTTCCAATAGAGGCCATAAATGGCAATATACAGCCATAAATAAATTTCAAATCCGTTATGCCCAAAATAACCAACTCGTCAATATTAAATATTACAACCGGGAATCTGCTGTGGTCAAGGGTTTTTTGACTATTACTATTACTTATTTAATTAAAAATATTAATTAGTCTTGGTTTTTTTGTAAATATAAATATATAAAATAGTCTAAAACAATTAATCTAAACTAATCTTGACAAAATGAATTTGAACTTTGCCATTTTTTACAAATAAAAAATTTCTCCTCTCTAATATATTTAAATACCTTTTTAGGAATTTTATTAATTTTTTTTTCTTTTTTTCTTTTTAATTTATATTAAAAATATCCTTATTGTACAACATTCATAAAAAATTAATCAAAAAGCATAAATAATAATATACTTGAATAGATAGACTTTAAAAAATTTCAGGTTTCATAAAAATTTTTTTCTTCTATTCTTCTCATCACTCACTGAACAATATTTCTTATAAAAAAATTAATTTAATAAATAAACAAAAATTTCTACATTTCCATTTTCTTTTTACCCCTTACACATTTATTTAATTTACATTTTCTCGTTCACAAATTGATATATTTTTCGAAATGAAACCACTTAATAATAATAACAAAGGTTTGTATAATTTGGAAAATATCTTCTTTTTTATTTACGAAAAAAAAATATTCCAAAGATTTATATATAAAAAAAAAATCAATTATTTTTATTATTATTAACTTCCATTAGAAAAATCTTCTATAAGTTTTAGTAAATTATCTTTGACAAAATCAGGGAAAAAAGTATTGAAACAACTTTCTCCAATACTTGTTCCAACTATTACTCCTTCAACCGAAACTTTACCACCTTTAGAACAGCAGTCACAAAAAAAATCAAGTAATAAGGATGACAACAAAATCATAAATAACCATAACCATAGTACCAATAATAATGATGATGATAATATAAATATTGAGATTAGCGACTTTAATAATTACGAGAATAGTGAGAATATCAATGAAAGTATTAGTAATCCTTTGATAGTAATAGATAGATCATCAAGAACTCCCTCACCTTTATCTAATAAAGAAGACGATGGTGAGGACGACAATGATTCCTATTATGACAGCGTTTCGCCTTCCTCGATTCAAATAGAATTTAATAATAACAATAACAATAATAAGAAATCCATCAATGCTAGCAATATCAGTTTAAGTTCTTTATCACCAACATCACCATCATTATCACCATTTAATTATAATGCTAGCTCACTGCCTGGTTCAAATTATAAAAGAAAACATAGTTTACCGCCATTAATGGAACTTTTTACCAATCAAAATAATAACTCATCGTTATATCCTTCATCACTATCATCACCACAATCAACACCATATATGACATTAGCAGAATTTAAAGCAAATGATGAGTTTCCACGCCAGCAAAGAACAACTTTAATTGCTTTACAAAGACAAGAAATCAGATTGAAGAAAGAGGGTGTTATAAAAGAAATGAATAAAGCGACGTTGCGTGGAAGAAAAAAAGGTTGGAATTTTGTGATTTTGATTATATAATGATAATGTATAATAATAATGTATTAATAAAATGGTGCATATTAAAATGACAATAATCTAGAACGAAAACTTTCCAAAACCAGGGAATCACTAAGTAATAGTAAGCCATCTATGTCAAATACTAGACGCTCTTCTTCTGGTGTTGTTTCACTAAAGTTTTTGGGAATTAAAAAAGGAAAAAAAAGAACCACTTCAGGTAAAATGCTTAAACAAACATAAATACATACTTAATTTCTAATAGTTAATTTAATAAACAGTCATTTCCTTGCCTATTTTCCTTACATTTTTATAATAGTTTTATTGAAGAATCTAGTACTTGCAATTCGTGATCTTAAAACTTCTGATGCATTGACGATTCTTTCATATTTATCAAGTAGTGCATTAAAAAAGAAATCAGCAGTTGAAGCAAATAAAGCTTTTTTGTTGGCAATGTCAAATCGTTTGGAGGATTTAGCGTTGGCAATGTATGAGCGTGGAATTCCAGGAGATATCAATGCACCGATATTTGTTAAAACTACAAAAAATTCTTTGTCGGATAGAGGGCCACGTACAAATAGTTATTATGGTGGTCATAATAGTGTTGATTATAATAATAATGGTCGTGGTTGTAGTCGTGGTCATAGTAATGGTAGTGATTCGGACTTTACAAGCTTAAAATTTCCTAGCTACTTTTTGTTGGCTATTTCACTTGGTCTACACAATTTAGTAAGGGCAATGTTAAAGGTATTTGTTTTATTTTGATTTTGATTTGATTTATTATATAATTTATATTAAAATCTCACGAATATATGTTCCCTTGCTAATAAATTAAAGAGGGCAAATATGAATCAAACATGGTTTGGTATTTCTCCATTAATAATTGCAACTGCGCAAGCATCAAAAACACAATCAGTTGATCGTCGTTGCTCATCCGATACACAATCATTAACAAACGCCGCATTACTTGTTAAGCTATTACTTGATAATGGTGCAGATCCATCTTTAGGTATACCATTGGAACAATTTAATAATGTCAAGAAATTAAAGGCTAAAAAATATATGAAACGCTTAGAATTATTTAATTCTATTCAGTCATCACTTAAAAATAATGGCGCGAATAGCGGTGGTGGTGACCCTCAAAGACTTGCATCTGTTCCACCCCAATTTGGTAGTGAAAAGTCAAAGGAATATTTGGAAAAATTTACAAAAGGAAGATGGGTGTATCCAATAGACATTGCTGCTGTTTCCGGTAATATGGAAGTTGTAAAACTATTGTTATCAAGGTTAGTTTATATATAAGATTTTTTAAAGCAAGAATGGAGACGGTAAATTATTATTATTTGTTAATTATTATTTTTATTATTATTAAATTAATATTACAATTTAGATTGGACACATCACAAATTGCAAATAGTTCATTTTGTTTATCTGTTCATAGAGATGTGATGCTAACATTGGAACTTGTTCGTGCTGGTGCAGATGTTAATCAACGTGATTCAAGGTTAATTAATTAGCTAGTTGGTTTAATTTAATCGAAAACTTTTCTTTTTGGGTGTAAATTGACTTTTTTTCTTTTATTATTGCTGATTATTCTATTTAGAGGTAATATGGCATTCCATCTTGCAGCTCGCTCAGGGCATCACGATATGGTGGTTGTTTTATTACAACTTGGTGCTGATGTCAATGCTAGAGGTGAAAATGATTGGTGAGAGTAAATAAATGTTAAAAAGTTATATATATTTGTAGTATTTACCGAATACTTACCATTACATATTGTTTTAGGACGCCACTTCATGAAGCAATTAGTCAAAAACATTTAAATATTTGTTCTATGCTTGTTACAGCTGGTGCCAATGTAAATTTGACAAATGGCAAAGGACAAACTATCAAAGACTTGGGAATTGAGACTGGCTTAACGGAAAAACAGATTGAAGAATGTTTGGGTTGGTTTCGATTATCATTTTAACGTATGATCATTATTAACCTATGTCCTGATAAATTTTTAGTAATTTTACAATTTCATAAAACGTATCATTTAATTACAGATAACAAAGAAAATTTACAAAAAGAAAAAAAAACAAAAGCTAATTTAACAGCATCAAAAAATGATATATTATCATCATTTAAATCTGTTGATTCAACCTTCTCATCATCGTCATCACTTGCTTCATCAAATTCAAATTCATTATCAACATCGCCTTCATCATCAACTTCTTCAACATCGTTATCAGCCATAACAACAACAACAACTAATAATATTAATATTAATAATAATAATAATAATAATAATAATAATAATAATAACAACAACAACAACAACAACAACAACAACAATAATAATAATGGTGCATTATCATCATCGTCTTCTTTTTCAACAACTAAATATAATCCTTTAAGTATGAAGTTTTCAACCTTTCCTAAAAAAACTCAAAATAATCTATCGTCAATTTTATCATTGACTGGTATTGAAAATTTAAAATCAAAATCAAAAAACATTAGTTGATGATACACAAATATACATATTTATTTATATAAATGGACAGATAGTGGTTGTTTAAAAAAAATTTCCACATATTTATTGTAATAATTAATATAATATCAACCTAATTTTTTTTAATAATATATAATTAATTTAATATATTTTTTTTGTATATATTACCAATAATATATTTTTTTAGATTTTATATGCATTCTTTTAAATTGATATCCTAATCTTTTAGACAAATGATTAAATATTTCATTTATATAATAATAATAAGGTAAATTACTTGAATTATCAAGTAATACTTTTGGTGTATCTTGGGCGTCTGGGTCATTGACGCGAGTCTAAATAATATTTAAATATAATCGATTCAAATAGTTGATAATTACAATTGTTATTACTGATAATTGTAGCTTTGTTTGAGTTCACGGGTTGAGGAAGATTGGTAAATTTAATAGTCTGCTGGCATAAACAGCATTTGGATGTAATCCAATTTTATTTTATCCATTCATCAATTTTTTTTCCAATCGATTTTAATTCATCAACGTAATTCTTTATTATCATAATATGCTCCATGCCAAGCCAAACAAATATCATTTTATTAGGATCAGCATTCATACATTTATATGCTAAACCATGTAAAATCTTGGCAGTATTAGTATTGTTATTCCCATACACAATTTTTTTATAGGGATTAAAATTGTGAAGCAAAAATTTTAAAGATTCATTGTGAATAAGAATTTAGTAATTCGTTGAAACAAAGATTACAAAGAGAAATTAATTTATTGGATTTCAGATATTAGATTCGAGGTGTGACAAGAAAGAAAGCAAATAAGTGGTAGCATATATCCAACATAATCATCCTAAAAAAGAAATTCAGCTACCCAAAACCAAACATCACGATCCTGAAACTGATTTTGAAACAATGGATTAACTTATTTATATTAATATTCATTCAAATTTCGTTGATTCATTCAGAGCCTTAACTAATATTAAGTTTTGATATCAACATTGCTACATCATACGTACAAAATTTGATATAGAATTATTATTCTCCTCTTAGTCCCAATACTAACTTTCCCACAACTAATAAACTAATAAAACAACAATATACAGGCGACTAAGCATATAAATGAAAACAAAAAATATATTTATACATCATCAGTTGTAAGTTTTCAATATCGCAGATAACAATATCGTAGCACATTAATTGGTTTATCCTTTTTAACATTTCTTCATGATACTGCAACAGCAAAATGCCCATAATAATTACAGAAGAAGCATTTTGATATCACCTCTCCATGGTGAATTCGTGCTTGGTCCGCCGAGTATAACTTTCCTGGTTCTGCAAAAACGATAGCTAAAGTAGTTTAATTGGTATTTGTTAGTAATAAAGATTTATAGTAAAAAAGAGATTTATACAAAAATCTCTCCCTTCAACCCATCCATCTTCCTCACCAATAACTAGAGCTTGAATGAACTAAACGAAATAACAGTTGTGATGATACTCACTTCGAATTTTTCGTTCTTTGTTTTCTTTGTTGTCGTTTGAACAGTCGAACGATTCGTCACACAAACTAAAACCGATTTTCAGTGTTTTTTCCGTCGAATTCTATTAATAAAATTAGCCCAGAAATTTCCCACGCATAGATTTTTCAGGACGTCAAGATTTAAAATCGAAAAACTCTTAAATTATTATTATACAACGTACCTAAATAAAAGGATATGTTTTCGATTCATCTTTTGATACTCTTTAAACGTATAGAGAGATTTTTAGATTTTTATTTGCAAAAAATTTTGCGTCATATATACATAACTTTGCTTTTTTTTTTTTAGCTTAAAATAAGTGTTATAGTTTATATTGAAATCAAAAAAAACTCTCTATAAAGGCATCACCCATCCTTCTAATATATTTTAAACTTAATTTGAAGCATGCATTTCTGTTATCCAAAGAGATATTGTCGTTCAAAGTTTACTAATAAAAAGGATCTGCAAGAATCTTTTAAATATGATCACCATATGATTAAAAAAATTTTCATCAAAATATTATGAATTTCCAAGAAAATAATTATAATTCCAGTAACAATAGTGAAAGTAGAAGTGGTGAATTTGGCGCTGGTGGATTTGATGAAAATAATACCTTTTCTAATGATAGTAATAATCGTTTAGGCGAGGAAACCCTTGAAGAATTAGAAAAATCTTTAAATCCTCCTCCGATTGATTATTATGGAATTCTAAATGTTTCTAAAGAGGTCAGACTCGCTTTTAGAATGTATTTCAGAAATATTGAAGCGTCAAATATATTTTTCTTCGTATATCCAAATCTGTATTTACATTTATCGGTTTTAATTAATCTAATTCTAAAAAAAAATTTTTTTTAGGCCACCGAAAATGAAATAAAAGATTCTTACAAAAAATTGTGTAGAACTTTTCATCCTGATAAACACTTAGATCCGGAAAGTAAAAGTACCGCGGAGAAAAATTTTCAAATAATTCATAAAGCTTATGAAGGTTTATCTTATTACAATTATATTATGATAATAAATTTTTTTTTGTTTCGATGTTGTAATTAAATAATTTACGATTATATATAGTTCTTACTGACCCTACAAAAAGAACAATTTATGATATGTTTGGCGAAGAAGGTTTAAATACTTCATGGGAAGTTGGCTATCGATACAAAACTCCTGATGAGGTTTGCATACATATACATCTATTAAATAATTTAAGTTATTACTATGCTATTTTTTTTTTTTAGTAATTAATATTTTTGTTTTTGTTTTTTTAGCTTAGAGAAGAGTTTGAAAAAAAAGCTAGAGCTCAAAGAGAAGAAGATGCAGAGAATTTAGTTAGATCAAAGGTAACTAATTAATGAATGATTTTTTGGAAAGGTTTATTAATGAAATATTAACTAACTTATCACTAATGAATCAATCAAAGGGTGACATTGTTTTAAGTGTTGATGCAAGACAATTATTTGATTCGTATGATATCCAAAGGTATAACATTGAGAAAAAGGAGAGATTTAAATTTAATGACTTATTTGAAAAAATTGAAATAACTCAATTATACCTGAAGAACTCTTTTGAGGTAACTAATTTTTTTTTAACTATTCTTTTTTTCTATCTCTTAAATGACTTTTTTGCTCAACAAATACAAATATAAATACAAATACTAATACTAATACCAATAATACCACAACAATTACCCTTCACTACCGCATTTATTATTTTCGTTAGACTCAATTCCAACCTGAAACAAATGGAATCATTGTTGGCCATACAGTTTTACGTAATGGAATTGGAGGTGGAAATATTATCGGAACATTAAGGCACACATTTTCACCAAGTTTTTGGGCAGAAGTATGTTGAAATTATAAAAAAAGAGATATCTATCCGTATGTTTTGTTTTTTTGCTTTTTTTTATTTAGTAATTATTAAATTTCGTACAAGTTTTTGAGAAAGATTGTCTGTCTGTATCACTCTCTTTCTCTGTGTGTGTGTGTGTGTGGCTGAATTCGACTCGCATATTAGGTTGGCGCATCTCTTATTGAACCAAGATTGCTGACTGTAAAAGGAACTTATAACATTGATAATGATAGGTTGGTGCATAAAACTAAAACTTGAATTGAAAAATAATGTATAACAAGTATTCATCTCTTTTTCACACTCAAACAATTATAAAATAGTTTTATCACATGTTTTGGAGACGCCAATACAATCTATGCCCCTCCAACGTTTGAAATTACTGCTGGTAGAAGATTAGGTGGATTTAACACTGGTTATCTAACCTATAAAACTGGTTCATGGATATTAGGGCCTTGGGGCAGAAGATATTCGGCGGGTGGTTTACGAGGTCGTGTTGGTGCTAAATCTGCTGTCGCAATTGGTATTACTGGAGCAAACGATAGTAAAACTGGTTATGGATTGGAATTACAAGTATGCACATGCATTATTTGCATAAAAAATAAATTGTTGTATATATTTATTGATTTTATAATTTATTAATTATTTTAGACTGGAATAACGCAATCACATCTTTCTGCTAATTATAACATGAAAGTATTTGATGATTATCAGTTAAGAGTTTCAACAACTTTATCTACATCAAGTGGCCTGACAAATACTATAATGGGTGAAAGAAAAGTTACCAATAACACAAAAGTTGCTTTAGCTATCGATTTTGGAATTCCTACTGGAATTATTTTTAGATGCAGGTAAATTGATTGATTGTTTCATAAAAATTAAAAAAAGTATTCGGAATAAATTTTTATATTTATTAATTGTGTTGCCTTTTCTGGGGGGTTATTTTGAAAAAAAAGGTTTAATCGTTTAGGACAAAAAATTTCCATTCCAGTACATGTAACTTCTGATTTGGATTTTAGATTTATTTTATTTGGCACTTTAGTCCCAGTCGTTTCAATCGTTTTCACGGAACAAGTTATATTAAAACCAAGACGTAAAAGAATAATGGCAGAGTGAGTGTTTATCATCATTTCATTACTACAATTACATAATACATAGTAACAATCATAATATATCATCACTATAATCAATCAACCAACTAACCAAGCATTAACATAACATTTTAGGAAAATAGCAGCATTAAGACAACGTCATTCCGAATATATACAAAGTCGTAGACAAGAAGCAGAAGAAGCAATTCGTTTGATGAAGCCATCTGTCGAAAGAAAAATTGAAACAGAACATGCAAAGGATGGTTTGATAATTTTGGAAGCTTGGTATGGCAATTTGTCTGATGGCGATGCTAGTGTTATCGCGAGGGGTGATAATTTTGTTAGTAGTGGTGGTGATGGTGGTGATGGCAATGGGTCATCATCATCATCGTCGTCGAGTGCACGTAAAGATGTTTTTGATGTGAGAATACCTGTACAAGCTTTGGTACACGAATCACAATTATCTATACCAGGTGGCTACTCAAAGGTAATTAAATCAATTATTTATTTATTTAATCTAATACAAAATAAAATAAAATATAATTCAACCATTATTTTCATTATGGGAAAAAAGTCCAATATTTTAGGTTTTTATGATCCATGTATGGGAGAGAAAAAGAAATTAAGAATTAGGTATCAGTTTAAACGTAAGATACATGAAGTTATTGTGGATGATAGATCAACTGTTGTATGTCCTTTACGATGTAAGTAATCTAGTTTTTTTTTAATTTTAATTTTTTGAAAACAAAAACGCATATTAATACTGATGCTATTTATTATTGTTGTTTTTATGTTTATGTTTATGTTTATGATAAAATAATATAGCTCATGTTATATCTGGTTAAAAATTTTTTTGAATAATGATAGAATATTACTGGTAGTAGTAATAATAATAATAATAATAATAATAATGTATTATGTTTAAATTAAATCAAAAAAAATATCTATATATTTTTATTCAAAGTATTATTTTCTTTCATCAAATAAAAGATACGCAGTTTACTCTGTTGTTCCCTTTCCGTCTTTAATAATTTGGTAACAATTATAAAAAACTTGGTAATTTGAATTATTATTAATATTAGGGTTGTTATGGTCCTCTCACTTCGATTACGAGTTTGACAAATTGAGTGATTCAACAAAAGTAGTATATCTAATGCTATCATTTGCACATCGGAACTTCCTCATGAGGACTTCCCAGGCTTTGATTTCTTAAACTCGTTCATCATCCGTTGGGTATTCAAAGGTCAACGCACAGGTTACAGGTTGAGCATATTGTTTGTAAGGTAGGCATTTGCAGGGAGATGTTCATCCCAGAATAAGTTAAAGCGGCCAGAGTTTTGATAGCCCCATTGGACGATGACTCGACCATAGATGCTTGCAAGAGGAATTTTTACATTTGCCTTGGAAGGAGTATGTATGTATATATTCAATTTAAGTTAATCTCGATAGTTAGTTATCTATTTACCATTGATATTTAAGCCTTCTACCATGATTTTCCATGGGGGAGCTTGCAATCACTCACGATTGTATCGATGGTGTGCCATCTGGAATCCGAGTATTCGTCTTTTCATATTTCCCTCCCGTTCGACAAATAGATAGTATAAATTTTTTATTTAGTAGAATTGATAATATTTGCAAAAAAGAAAAAAAATGATGATTTTAAAAGATACGTGTAAAACTGTATCAACATTACACGCTGTACTAATACTCGATGATAACGGTTTCCGTTAAAAACTTGTTTACAAAGAAATTCATTACTGAAGGTAACCTTCAACAAAGCCAAATCCAGAAACTTTGGTTGTTAATAAAGTTTTAAACTTCTTTTAATCGTAAAATATTTCGCTCGCTTTCAATAATAAACTTGCACGGTAATTTTTGCTTGTGATGATCGACAAACATGGCACCTTCTGTAAGTAGATGTTGTTTTCTGTAAGAAACAACCATTCAATGAAAACCTCACCGTTAGTAATTATAAATGTTTGCAAATTTCATTTATATATCTACACTAAATTATTTTTCATTTTGTTTAATAGTATCGTTCTGAGTTACTTTCACCAATAGAGACAGATTCCGCACCTTCAAGTCAAGAAGATGAAGAAGATGAAGATGAAGTTAATGATGGCGACGATAATGACGGTATTAATAATGACGACGGAGAAAATTATGACGAAGAGGATGAAATTGATGGTGATGGAGGTGTTTATGAGGATGTTGATGTTGATGATGTTGACGTAGATGGTGGTAGTGGCATTGAAGAACAAACATTATATGAAGAATATTTAATACTGAAGGCTAAACATCGATATATTCAAAAAGAAAATGAATTATTAGCTGATGAATACCAATTAATCAAAAAGAAATTAAAAAGATTAAAAATAGAAAAGGTTATTTTATTAGATGCTGTTATTTCAAAATCCAATAATGATAATAATAATGATATAAATCAATTAGAAGATTAACAGCAATAATACTTTTATCATTAATTTAATTACTATTACTCAACACATAAAAATAAAGCAAATATTTTGAGTTTTGACTGGAGACAATCGATGCTCGATGAAATATATTGTAAACGTACTTTTAATTATCACTTTGATTCGTAAGTTCTTAGCATTGACTTTAGATAAATAAAATTGTCATTTCTTTTGAACAATTATACATTTTGGACAGTCTAATTATCTTTTTACTTTTCTAGGAACATAAATCATATCCACAATGCCTTATGCTCGAGAAAAATTTTGGCCAACTATTGAAAGGAAATTAAATCTGTTATTTATAAAAAAGGAGAAATAGCCTTGTTTCTTTTAACTTGGAAGAGTGTTTTTTTTCAAATAAATAAACGAGTTGTTTAAAATGACCTGATACATTCAATTAACAATCAATTAAATCAAAATGAATTTCAATCTTCATGTCTTTAGTCTTTACCCACAATCAGGAAATTAACAAGTTCAAATGCAATTGTAAAATAAATAAATAAATAAGTAAACACCACACATAAAACATATTATAAAATAAAGGCTTTTGTTTGTTTAGCTTATAAAAAATTATATAATTTTTTTTTTAGATATTATAGATATTATATATCATGATAAATGATAATTGAATATTATTGAGCATCAAGAAGAGTACCTGATGGGCTGCCAATTTCTAATAACGACCTTTAAAAGGTAAAGAGCTTGCAAACTAACCAAAAAAATGAGAGATTATGTATATTTTGCTTATAGTCATGTACAAATTTAACAGGTACTAATTCACGTTGAACTTTTAACAGATCTACTTCAGCAGTTAGTTGAGTAAACATGCATTGGATGTCTTTTAATAACTTTGGTAATTTAGAGCCGCTTTCCAAAATCTTTTTTGTTCCCTTATAAAAACGTCCAGACCAAATCTCAAATCTGAAGAAATACGTAGTATCAAATCTGCCTTTCGACCAATTTTCCATCTAACCAACTAATTTTCTGTTATATACCAGAAACTGTAGTATGACCTGACCTAGAGGACAGACTCTTCACGAACTTCCATATCCATGATATATGGAAAGCATTGATCTAAAGTAAGATGGATCCTCACAGATTGACATCATACCATTGCTCTAGATGATAATCCAGGCCCATATCCCTTAATGATAGCATGCATCGCAAATTCACCTAATCTATATCACGAACCTTGGCTGTCTAAATTGCATCATTATTATTTGTCAAAGATCATCTATTGGTTTTTTTTTTGCAAATGGTCAATCAAATCTTTTGGAATTTTCGAAAGTTCATAATTACGGATTTCTTTGTTATTTTATCATTTGCATAATCATCTGAATCTAGAGTAAACTATCACGCATATTTGGACTAGGAAAATCAACCTCTCAACTGATTTTTTTAATTTGAGTTTTCTTAATATTAATCTATTATACAAGGATTACAATTTGGATCTTGTTTGCGTAGTAGAGGAATGAGATATTAAAAACATGTGTAACCAATTTTAAAAAGGATTGTTACTATTACTAAAAATAGATTTTTTGTCCGAGAAGTTGATTTTCCTCGTATGTTCTGAAGCACCATGTTTTTAAACATTGGACTTGACATTTATAGTTTTTAACCATGATATGTTCACAAGGAGAGATGGCACTATCATCATTATTGTTATTTCCGCGCTTAATATTATCACTGACATCATCATTACCGTCTTTATTACAAATTTTATCAAGTTTTTTAAAAAATTTTTTACTAATCCTAGAGTCAGGCCTTTTATTATTAGCAATTCATGGTACTGTTCCATGCAAGTATGAGACTTCCTGGCTTGTGGATGTTTCTACTTTGTTGTAATTAATGATTTCCTCGTTGTCTGTCCTTTTCATCATTATTATTAATTGAACGAACACTTGAACAGAGGGCATTCACAGATCATCAATTAATATAGTTACTAATAAACTTACAATGCCTCCAATAATCGCTTCGTTATAATTTTCAACCTTTCAGGACTTATTTGTTTCACATTGTTTCGAAGAACATCAAAAAATTACAATAAAATTTGACCATTATTTTAGTCCCATAACAATAAGACTTGCTCTGCAGACGATAACGTTTATCAAATTCCAGTCATATGATTTTGTTTTTGGATTATTAATTTCATGTAGATGAAATTTTTCTGTATTACCATTCCCATCTTTTTTCTCTTTTTCTCAAAACTTCTCGAGCTCTAGGATTATTATTCCTAACGACTCGTTATTTTTCAAAATATATATATATTAATGTCTAACGCGCAATTTACCTTGGATATTCAGGCAAGTATAGCAATCGAAGACAAAAAAAAAAAGGTTCAAAATACTAAACATGTTTGTTTTTAATAACTTTAATCTCGTACTTGAAGGAGATTTGGCGCTAAAAGAAGAATTCTGGAATCTGCATGAGTTCAAGCAATCGGAAGTAGGACACCTCTTAATAAATATTTCTGGAAATGGCTTTCCACATGAAATTAAAGATGGAATAATGTAATGGTTGGAAAGAGGGATACGACGGATTTTATTTTAACCCCTATCAACAAGAAGGTATATTCAACCAGGGTTGGCAAATTGACTGGTTGAATGGATTTGGACTGGTCCATTGCCATTAACAGAATACTAAATATGGTTATGGACCGTACATTTGCTAACCCTGTAAAAGCAAGCTCAGGGAAAGGAATTGCCATCGAGTTTGACAATATTAAAACGGAATGTATGAAATTAAATGGAGTTCATGATAGTTGGCAAAAGGCTATTCGAATCTCACGATCATTAATGAAAAAACCAGAAGACGAAATTTTAAACCTCAAAATTAGTGATCATTACCGGCCAAATCAAAAGACAGTCCGTGAATAGAGATGTTCCATGCGCATGAAAAAAAAAAAATACAATGCGCATGCTTTTTTTTAAATCACACACAGAAAATTCATGGGTATCTACCAATAATGTGGATTTATTAACCTGGTGGAAAAGTAATTTTGGAGAAGATAAGCAAGAAACGCAACGACTATTTAGAGCCTTTAATGAAACAAAATGATGCAGATTTGAAATGTATAAGCTCTCTTGTTGGGACTGATGTTCTAGATCAGTTTTCCATTGTTGTTTTGAGAGTGAAGTTGCATCGTCTAATTAGCAGAAGGGTTTATTGTACTAATATTCAAGGTTGGTAAATGTGCGGTCCATTGATGGTCCATTAGTATAACACTTTAACCATATTTAGTATTTTATTAATGGCAATGGACCAGTCAATTTGCCAACCCTGCTAATATTAGCCATTGAAAAAAGTTTTTGAAGCAATTTTTTTAATGTTATGTATATGGGAATGTGTAATTGTTCATTGAAAAATAAAATTGTAGTTGGTTTAATTTAATCGAAAACTTTTCTTTTTGGGTGTAAATTGACTTTTTTTCTTTTATTATTGCTGATTATTCTATTTAGAGGTAATATGGCATTCCATCTTGCAGCTCGCTCAGGGCATCACGATATGGTGGTTGTTTTATTACAACTTGGTGCTGATGTCAATGCTAGAGGTGAAAATGATTGGTGAGAGTAAATAAATGTTAAAAAGTTATATATATTTGTAGTATTTACCGAATACTTACCATTACATATTGTTTTAGGACGCCACTTCATGAAGCAATTAGTCAAAAACATTTAAATATTTGTTCTATGCTTGTTACAGCTGGTGCCAATGTAAATTTGACAAATGGCAAAGGACAAACTATCAAAGACTTGGGAATTGAGACTGGCTTAACGGAAAAACAGATTGAAGAATGTTTGGGTTGGTTTCGATTATCATTTTAACGTATGATCATTATTAACCTATGTCCTGATAAATTTTTAGTAATTTTACAATTTCATAAAACGTATCATTTAATTACAGATAACAAAGAAAATTTACAAAAAGAAAAAAAAACAAAAGCTAATTTAACAGCATCAAAAAATGATATATTATCATCATTTAAATCTGTTGATTCAACCTTCTCATCATCGTCATCACTTGCTTCATCAAATTCAAATTCATTATCAACATCGCCTTCATCATCAACTTCTTCAACATCGTTATCAGCCATAACAACAACAACAACTAATAATATTAATATTAATAATAATAATAATAATAATAATAATAATAATAATAACAACAACAACAACAACAACAACAACAACAATAATAATAATGTATTAATAAAATGGTGCATATTAAAATGACAATAATCTAGAACGAAAACTTTCCAAAACCAGGGA